TGTTCTATTTTTACTTGTATATTATTTCACTATTATTTCATTTCAGGTTTATTTTGCTTAATATAATTGTTATTTTCAGCTATTCATTTTTAATTCTTCTTTTTTAGTTGTTTCAGGGATTTCAAATCATTTTATATAGTAGACAATGGAAGTCCGAACTAGTGAAATTTAACTTTTACATCATGGAAATCCGACTTGTAACATTTAAATCTTTTTTATCAACACATTTTGGGAGAGTCGGGCCCACTTTATTATGAGTTGTTGTCTTTTCCAGATAATGAATTTCAGCAGGTGTGTGAGGAAAGAGACATAAAGAATATGCCTACTTACGTTTCTAACGATACTGATTATTCAAAAGGAGAATGCAGTAACAATTTTCTTTGTGAAAATAATTGCGTACAACATCGGAAGACTGACAAGGGGGAGAAACAGTTCGATTGTAGAATTTGTTTGAAATCTTGTAAAAGTAAAGATGCATTGAGAATGCATGAAAGAATTCATACAGGAAAAAGATCTTTCCACTGCAAATTATGTTCTAAATCATTCCTTAATAGCGGTGACTTGGTTGTTCACAAGATAGTTCATACAGGAGAAAAACCCTTTGTTTGTAAAGCCTGTTTTCTCTCTTTCAGACAGCTAGCACATCTGAGAAGACATTAGAGAATTCATTCCCGAGAAAAATTGGAACAGACGAATCAAAAGAGTAATTTTTTCTTTTGTAAATTGTGTTCAAAATCTTTTCTAGACAAGGGTTGTTTGAAGAGTCATGAGAGAATTCATAAAAAAAGACAGTTTTTTTGTTGGTTCTGCCCCAAATCTTTCCATTTTTCATATGATTTGAGGATGCACGAGAATACTCATACAAAAAAAACTCCATTTTATTGTAATCTAAGAAAACTTTGAAAGCTCACCAGAAGAATATTCATACAGGTGAAGAACCATTTTCTGAGGAGGATTTGTCTACAAATCAAAGTGCAAATTTGGATGAGGATGATTATGATACTCATAAAGATATCATGGATGACTTGAAAATTCATTAAGAAGATCTTAAGGATTACTTGACTATTCAAGATTTCAAGGATCGTTTGATTACTGAACAGGATGTTGAGGATGGCTCCAACATTCGCGAAAAAAATATAAAAGCTGAGTGTACCAGCAAAGATGTTGGTGATGGTGAAATTACGCCAGATGTAGAACCTTCTCTTGAGCTCATTGCAGGTAATACCTTTATTTACTTAGTCAAGATGCTTATAATTTCTATTCAATACTGCTGGTCAAATTATTATATGAAAATCCCACAATAAAGTATTCAATATTTTTATGCAAAAATGTCCTGCAGTTGTACATAATTTGGAGTTCAATGCTTTGTCAACACCTCAAACAATTTGAAGGATGTCATTTTTCTCATTTCTCAAATAAAATGCCTCAATAACTTTTATCCAAACAAATATTCTGAACTGACATTCAACTTGAAATATTTAAAAATGTATTCAATATCGTTGACATCGAAAGTGATATTATGGTTGTAATTCTCTATATGTAGACATTGTTTTCAGTTTTCAAAAAAAAGACGAGCGCTGCACAAAGAAAATTTAGGCCCAGTTTATAGATAATCACCTGCAGTCAAAACATGAATGTAGGTGAAGAAGTTTTAGAACTGCCATTTGGAATGATTGGTTTTGAAGTTATTTTTTTCTGGAATTACCTCCTGAACTCCAGCCCACATTTTACAATTTTGTGTACATAATGATTGTGTTAATTTTTTTCTATGAAGCCAGAAATATCACCACTTTTGACTTATCAGTTAGGTATATAAATTTTCTCATAGTAATGTTTTTTGTCTTTTGCAGATTCTGAATCACAGTTCTATAATGAAATACAACAAGAAACAATATCTCAGGATACAAATAGTGAAAATAAACATGTCTGTCTATTGAGAAATTTGGAAGGTCACAAGATAATTAGTTTAAATGAAAAATCATTTCACTGTGAGATATGTATGAAATACTTCAAGAAAGTGAGTCACCTGAAAGAACAATGTAATGTTCATTCAGAAGAAAGACCATATTCCGTTGTACAATTTGTTCAAAATCTTCAAAAGTCGTAGCCACCTTAAAGAACATCAGAACATTCATTCAGATGAAAGTCCACATCGATGTGGTCAACTGGAAGAATAATTTGAGAACACACATGAAAATTCATGTAGGGGGCAGGTCATTTACAACACCAATCATGCAGTTTTGCTGTTGATCACAAAAGTACTGAAAGATACTCTGAAGAGTGAATGCAATACATTTCGTGATGGCCTCAACAACTCATATCAAAAAGAGTGACATAGTTCAGGTGTGTGGAAGAAGAGTTTATGTTGTTTTGCAAAGATATCGATAACACTCATGATTTATAAATTCTCTATCATAAACATGTAATGTTTCTTGAGAATAAAGCATCATCAGTATAATTTTTTCAGTTATCTCAAAATTTTTGTTTTCGAATGTTGATTTCAAATATATAATTCTGAAGATATCACGTCACTAGATTAGCTTTATATCCAGCGAAATACAACAGTTGAATGAGATGTTCAAACTACCATCCATCAGTCTCTTGACAATAAGAAAATTTACAGATACATTCCTCTTGCACATTGCGAATAACTTCTGGGGTAATTCCGCTAGTTCCGACCCTGATTCGATTTCTCAACTCATGTGAAATTTGCGGTCTACATACAATTTCAAATAACCACAAGGAAAAATCTACTGACGTAAGATCTGGAGATCCTGGAAAAGAGTCATTAATCCTGTTTTTATTATCCCTGCCCAAACATTGACTTTTTGAAAAGTTTTTTTCATCTCAAGATGCCAACTTGGTTACAATAATTAAGATATACTTAGGCACCACAGACCAGGGTATATGGTCTGTGTTAGGCACAGTAAACCACAGACCATATACCCTAGACGGTTCACGTAGGTTACTTCACCTTGAATCAACAGACCATATACCCCCTGTGCAGTATACTGTGCTTTAGGTTTATATATAAGGTTTGTTCTGGTTCTGCGAAATTCAAGTTCTAGGACGTCAGGATCATGCGCAGTTGATATAGAGCGTTCTGGTTTATTGAGGATAATTTCGGACTGATGAATCCTCTGTTCTGGTTTTGACTGCGAAAAGATCCTGAACTGTTTTGAACCGTACCGAATCGTTCTTGCTCTCGAGGCTGAACTGTTGAGAACTGTTCCCGATGCTCATGCGCATTCATGTGGAAATTTGTTTGGACTATTTGCTAGGATGTTTTTTTATTTATTTGATTTGAATAATTGATGATTAAGGTTAGATAACATTTGAACTGACTACAAGGATACGCTACATAACAAAACGGACATAATAAACAGTATTTTCTCGTCTTCATCTCTTCATATATACGATAGGTGGCACAGTGGTCTCCTCGAAATGTGTTCTGGTTCTACCTCAACCCAGGGCTGCTCCTGGCTATACAATTGTACGAATTGCTATACAATTCAATATTTTTTCGTACATGCATACCACATTGACGAAAAGCATACATTTTGACTTCATTTGGTTTTGCATTGATTCGAACGAAGCCACGATTATATATTTACAAATTTCAATCACTTCGTCCTTCGATAGTCGAGTAATCTGTCTACCTCTGTCTTCCGTCTCATTATGATAGGCTTGTCCCGCTTGTCCGTCATAGAACTCATAGAAGTCATAGATCACGATCACAGAGCACTTAATTTTCAAATCAGTCAAATCTATCGAAAACCGCTGACGCTAAAAGAAACATGAATCCACAGTAAGAAAAGAGAAGAGACGAATTTCAAATAAATATTTATGAATGGTAATTGGTAGTTCACCTCACCTCTCTTGATGTTTGTTTTAGGAAACTTTGTGTTGTCATTTGATTTGATACATATTATAAGCTGAAGGTAGATTAGTGAATGCAGAATTTTCAATTAATATTAATGCAAATACGAATCAAATAAATATATTTGCAATAACCACTTCAAAATATTCACATCTGATGGAGTGTCTGCGCATGCGCTTATCGTTTTATTCCATCTTTGCATCATGCGGGAGGCTGTCACTTGTCAATTATTCTGATGACAGTGTTAGCGACCATTGATGCTATACAATTAGAGCGAAAATCATACATTTTCATCTGTCATTTTCGTACAAATTTTTTTTGTCTTGGAGCAGCACTGCCTCAACCTAGTATCCGAGACTATTTGGAACTGTTTGAGAATTTTTGTTTGTACGCATCATGTCTTGTGCAGTTTCCAAACAGTTTTGGATGTTAGAACCAGAACAAATCTTTTAAAACACGAAATGACGTGAAAAAATATGTACAACATAGCTGTCATTCTCCCTTCCAAATGACAGGTTTGTTCTGTTCGCCCTAATCTTATTTCAGATCAGTCATTCGCATTGGAAATTGGCCTTCTGATCAATCAAACTACTTCGAACATTAATAGCAGATAACTTTTGGCGGAAATTACTCAATTTGTGGTACAACAAAAAAAAACACAACGTATAAATCGCGAGCGTTTTGGGCGTCGACTCGAATGCAATATATCTTTTTCTTCTAAAGGCTTTCTCACACTAGTCCATATATTTATAATGACTGTCAGTGTCCATAATATAACGTCTATGGATGGTGTAAGGTTATGAATATGAATCACATAATACCAATAAGTTATTTAAATATACAAATAGAGTTGTTTCAGTTGTTGATGTTTGATATTTTCATGTTGTGATATATTGACTAAATCGGGAGAAAAAACGACTATGCACAGTATCAAAAACTTCGTGAAATTCAGAGAATTTAGTTCAATATACATTAGTTTTTCTACAAAGTCTCTGTCCAAACCTACAGATATCACATTATTGGACAAAACTTATGCTATTGATTCATATAGCAACCTGACAGACAAAATTTGCAGTTATATCGGAAAAAATATCTACTTACAACAGTATCATCCCCTGAATCTGGTTCGTCAAAGGATTATCAAATATTTTTATAAATCGTTTGTCAATCGACGAAAAAATCCTGTATTTTCAGTACATGAAAATTTGCCACCAGTTGTAAGTATTGCTCAGAACTTTGATAACTTGCTCATACCGGAAGATCACCCATCTAGATCGAAAAGTGACTGTTACTATGTCAACAAAAACTATTTGCTCAGGGCCCATATGACTGCTCATCAAAGCGAGCTGATAAAAGCTGGCTTGAACAATTTTTTAATGGTCGGCGACGTATACCGAAGAGATGAAATTGACAAGACTCACTATCCCATATTTCATCAAGTGGATGTTGTAAGACTGAGAACAAGAGATCAGATCTTCCTTAAAGATGAAAATTTGCAAATATTTGAAGAGGGAAGTAACACTGCATTTAATGAAAATCAGGACAAACAAGCTTGCCACAGTCTAGAAGCTGTAAAACTGATGGAACATGAGTTAAAAGGCACGTTGGTAGGACTTGCACGTCATTTGTTTGGGGAACACGTTAAGTACAGGTGGATAAATGCTGTCTTTCCATTTACTCTTCCATCATGGGAATTGGAAATTTATCATAATGATGACTGGATGGAAATGCTAGGTTGCGGGATAATGAGGCAACCAATTTTAACCAATGCTGGAGTCAATGATAGAATAGGTTGGGCATTAGGTTTAGGACTGGAGCGACTAGCTATGTGTTTATATAATATTCCCGATATCAGGTTATTTTGGTCTAAAGACAGTGGATTTTTAAACCAATTCAAAACTGAAAATATCGATGATAGCATTACCTACACCCCTATCAGTAATTTTCCTCAATGTGTTAATGACATGAGTTTTTGGCTTCCTGAAGGAGGAAATTTTTGTAGCAATGATTTTTATGATCTTGCAAGGACCATTGGTGGTGATTTAATAGAGCAGATTGAATTGGTGGATACTTTTACTAACCCAAAAACAGGTAGAATTAGCCATTGTTACCGACTTACCTACAGGCATATGGAGAAGACTCTTACACAAGCTGAGGTGAATGTCATTCATAAAAATATTGAAAATGGAATTAAAGAACTTGGATGTATTGTTAGATAATATATCTCGAATCATTTACATTTGTAAATAAAAGTGAATTCAATTGATGATCTGTGTATGGAATTGCAGCTACAGTCATACTTTCAATAAACCTGTGATAAATTGAATTATGGTTTTGAAGAATTCTTTGTAGTATTTAGAAAGGTGAATGATACAGTCAATTTACTAAAAATCAAGTGATTGATTCAAATATCCAAAACCACAACAGATAGGAAAAAAATATAAAATCAATTGAGATGAAAATAAATTCTAGTATCACATTTAGTTTAAAAATGATGATCAAAGTTTGTAAAGAAGCTTAATGAGGTAACTAAAAATGTTAACATTTATTTTTGAAATAGTTTTGAATATATAGTCAATACTATGAATGTTAACACAGTTTGGCATAGCAAATCTTTCTTTGGGCCTACATTTTCAGAATTTCAACAATTCCCAGTAAGTTACAACACTGATACGTGTCGGCAACTTTTGGTGTTGTTGGAATTATCAATTTTTGATAAAGATGAACCATAATAATAATCTCAAGACAATTCTGTTAAGGTTTAGGCAAAACTACTTTTGCGAATCTACCTTGCTACTAACTGTAATTAAATGGACCCATTCTTGGATCTGTGAAGAGCATTCGAAACAATTTATAGAAGTATTTTTTGAAAAATCAAAGCCATTGGTATTACAGAACCTGTAATAAACTGGTTTGAAGACGATTTAAGTTGCCAAAGCCAGGTAACAAAAATTGTAAGTGATCTTTCGGATAAAGTAACTACTAAATTTGGTGTACCCCAGGGAAATGAATTTGGACTTTAAACTTTAATCTATATCAGTGTGGACCATAGATGTGACTATCAATTCATTTGTTGACAATACATTGTTATTTCTCTTCTTACAAATTGAAATTAAACGTTGCAAAATCCCCAATCGATGATTTCAATGACACAATACGAATATAAACAGTTTGATATTCTCATTCGCTTTATATTGGCAATGAAATGATTAAATTTGTTAAAGGAGAGTTATGTTGGATAGCGATATGTCTTTTAATGCACACTAAAGCTACGTCACTAAGAAAATATCAAAGAAATTTTATTTCTTTACAAGAATCTCAAAATAAGATTTCTTCTTAAAAAATCATTCATTCATTCACATTTTTTGAAATATTGATTTTTCGGAAGACTCAAGACCGAATTAATAAAGGGTTCTTGTCTTTTCCAGGATTTCCATTACAGCAGATTACTGAAATGGAATACTAAACAATATCTGAGGGTAAAAGAAAAAATTTCGATCCCAACTATGTATCTGAAGACAGTAACAAGTTCACAGGAGAATGTTTTGAACATTTTGTAAAAACAAAAACTCTGATGAATGTGCATACCGAAGAAAAGCTATTTAGCGAAAGTTCAGAAGAAAGACCATTCAATTCTAAAATATATTCAGATTCCTTCAATACTGAGAAATTGAAAACATCGGAAGAATACTTCAGATGAGGATGATTTTAATAATGAAAATGACAAGGATAACTGTAAGATTCATGAATATGTCAAGAGACATTACATTCTTTTTAAATCGTTCCAGGATTGGTATCTCACAAGAGATTTCATACACAAGAAAAACCTTTCACTTGTAACATCTGTTCCCAATCTTTTAGACTGTTAGCAAATCACATCAAAACATTCATTCTAGAGAAAAACGGTTTGTCTGTAAATTATCTTCAAAATCATATGTTGATGAAGAGTATTTGAAACATCATGAGAGAAAAATCATTTTCATGTGCATTTTGCCCCAAATCTGTGTTGGAGAATTTGAAATTGCATGAGAAGTTTCATTCAAGAAAACAAAAACATTCTTATGAGAAGAACTTGAAAGCTCATCAGAAGACTTTGTCGCCAAATCAATGTGAAGCAGTAGTTGTAGATAGTACATATGATTTTAATATCAGCGAAGATGTGAAGGATGACTTGAGAAGTCATGAATAAAATATAAAAGATGAGTTCACTCCCAATGATGTAGGATATGAGGATATTATACTGAATGCTAAACCATATTTTTGTTGAAAATTATTCCTGTTAATTCAAAAACTAACTGTTTATTCACAAGTTCACAGCTTTGTTGAATGTTCTTTACAAAGTTATATGATCTTAAAAAGACACATTAGTAATAAAGAGATGGCACTATAATACTGTACCTCCAGTGAAGACGATAGTAGGCAAGTCAAAAGGAATTTCTTATTTTACTTAATTTCCAAATGAAATTGAAGAACTACTTTTTTTCTCTTTTCAAGGAACAATTGAAAAACGATCTAATTAAAATGAGTCTTCATAAAAGGTATCAAAAGACTCGCTTGGAGACTGCTAAAATGTGTTTCCTCTGTTTGACTTAATTGTAGTATGTTTTATACATTCCTTACAATTCATTTTCACAACTCACTAACAGTTTTTTCTTAAATTATAAATAAGTTTGACTCGTCCCAAACTGTTATGTTCTATGAGTGTAATAAAGTTTGCTGCTACTTCAAACTCATTATAACATCTTCATTAGTTTGAAATACAAATAATATTATATCTTAGGAACATACCTACCAAGTTGCATGAAGTTATAATGGTTATTCGAGCCTAAAGCTTTCCAAAACAAACACTTTTCCCAGACCACAGAACTGGAATACTTTTTTCGACGCGCATTTCACCAACCAAGTTGGCGTCTTCAATAGATGTAGCTTTCTACTGTGCATCAGAGAATGTCTCTTGAAAATCTATTTCGTTTTATTCAACTCCTTCAGCAACTAGCCTAGCATGAAATGTCTCATTACTATTCAAATACAACATCCCACCAGGAGTAATTATGAGTCATTTTTCATTTCTAACACATTATATATTCAAAGTATACAACAAATCCAAATTACTCACATTGCAGGTGTGCAATAATATAGAGAAATATTCTATGTGGTTTGAATATTTTTTATATAGCAACTAGTTATATAGTTTTATTTCATATAGCAAAATAGTTTTAAAAAATAGCGTAATTTTCAGCTCATGCTAGTTATTTTCAACATTCAACTGGTTGCATGTGATTAGATAATTGAAGCCGGTGAACTTTAAAATCGAGGCATTTACCTAAAATAGAACGATAAAACGTACAACATTGAACACATGGATGCTAGCTATATATTATTTTAATGTTAATATGATGGAGATTGTCAAATATTTTTGATGGACCTTGATGGCCTTCAAATTCGTAACTACATTTTATTTAAATACGATATTTAATATATACAATTATTCTGAAATTGTAATCTGAAACTGAAACACATTGACACAGAACAGAAGGAAATGTCAAATTTATTTCGATACTGCCATAGAACTACAACTCAAAAGTTTCAGTCCTGTGGATGATCTTCGTTTTTAGTTCTGTGGATACTACCATTATTGTAATAAAATATTCCTCTCGGCTCCAGATATCTGTTCTATGACGAAGGTTCAGTTAAAAACAAGACCATTCAAAGCATTAGAAAAGTCCTAATGACCCCTAGTATGCAATTCATATGACCGATGACGCAGTCGTATTGTCCTTCTGTTTTGTGACGTTTTTGCCAAAAAATTGTGTGAGCCGCAGATGTGACTGTAGTGTTTGCGAATGTGACGTTCTGTGGCGACGTGACAGCTAATCCATATTATGACGTTTATGGTAATCACATACTTGCTTTGTTGAATCGGTGTTTGATGTTTGATCTCAGAGTGTACTGAGCTTTTACCTTATACCACTCGTAAGATAAATGAATTTCTGTCATAAATTTATATAGGTGTTGGAGATATTCAACAGTACAATAATGGACAGACAAATCAAAAAGGAAGTTGACTCCAGCGATTTCAACAAATCATTGCAAACATGTATAGTGAAACAGGAACCTGTGGACGTTGACTCTGTTGGTGAACAAAATGTAAATTATCACTATCCCCAACAGAATCTGAATTATTTCAATGAAGACTACAACTATCCAGAAAAAAATGAGGAAAAATGTGAGGGTATCAAGGTGAAAGTAGAAGATGAAGGGGATTTATGTAAAGTAAAACAAATAAAAGAGGAGGGTGACCTCAATTTTGATGAAGAGGATGCAAATGCTGACTTCAATATTTATGAAGAAGATATCAAAAACTTTGTTAAAGGTGTTAAAACAGAGCCCGCATTAAATGTGGAAGCTGAGGATATTAAACCTTCGTTTGGTCCTTCAGGTAACATCTTTTTTTAATAGGCAACAACCACAAATATCTATTATCTGAACAGTATTAGTTTACACATTTAGTAAACAGTAATTGAAAAAAAGAGTTATATTGGATCTAGTAAATTGGTATCCTTGAATCTGAATAAATTGTTTAATAATGATTTGTTTATTGATTTTTATAACATTTATTTACTATTGACTATATTAAGTTCACAACTGAGTAAAAGTTAGTATATGCATAAATTTGCATGCATATATGAAAGAAAACTTGCACATATACATAAAAAACCATTAATACAAACACATATTTGAATAACTGGGCTTTAAATGTTCAATTCCAAAGATTAAAACTCAAATTATTGAAAAACATGTTAACTTTGCTCTAATAATAAGATTCACAATATTTTGAAATGGGGTATAACTTCCCTCTTGTAGTGTTTCTAGTAGTGCATTGTGAAATCAAGAGCATTGTATTGTGATTTTTTATAGTATGTCAAATATTTGAGAATTTTGAAAAAGTGTCATGTACCATGTTTGCTAGACTATAGCAGATTATCAATGTAATGCTGCAGAACATATAAACACAAAAGCAGACATGGCACATTTTTGTTAAGGACAAAACACAAAGACTACTAGAAAATCCTTTGGTAAGGGCACCAATTTTAGAGCGCCTAAAGACTTTTCTTGTAGTGCTTGTGTTTTGTTCTTTAGAAAATGTCATTTCTGCTATTGTGTTTATGTTCTGCAGCATTACATTGGTAATCTGTTATTACTAGAAAACATGATACATTTAAAAAGGTATATACCAGGTACAAAGTTAATTGTATTTTCTTTGAAAATAGGTCGGTCGGTAATTGTTTTGAAAAATTTGTGTTGAAAATCAGTTGTAGTTGATGTTTTTGGAACACAAAAACTCAAAAGAATTCCCTCGCTGGACCCTATGCCATAATATCGAGGTTAATACGAGAGTATTCCACACAATTGTATCAATAACATTATTCAGTGTTGGGATCTTCATTCGGGTTTGAAGGCCGTCGTAGTTTGGAACTGTATCCAACTGAAAATCTCGGCCGCAGAAGCCCTAACCAATTTACAATTATTGATCAAAAAGAAATTGAAAAATCTTTTACCTCATACCATGTTCATATGGACAATTAAGCCATATGAAATCATTCAGAACAGGGAAATTGTTCAAAACATATGGAATAAATTATCTATAAATAAATCTGGAAAATATCACTTCAGTTTTTTATCTACTTGGATTTTTCATATGTTACATTTACGGAATACCAAAGCATATACCAAGAATTTTATGTATATATTTGTTGTATCAATTGTGCAAGTACCTGCTTCACAAAAAAAACTGAATTTGCCTCTTTGTAATTTCATGTTTCTGATCCCTAATGATGTTTTGGTTGAATGAACTTATTTTACAATTGTTCCCAGACAGAAACTTTTGTTTTTGAAGTAAAACTTCTTTACGCGCTCTTGACTTGGGATTAAGCTGGTGACGATAGCCTAAAGCATGATTGGGCGAAGCGTACAGAACTTATACAAATGTTTTTTTTTTTTGACTGATGCTACTATTTATCCTTCATTTTCAATATTTCAATATTAATATTTGTTCACAAAAAGGATTTGAAGCTTTAAGAATTTCCAATTATTACATGCAAGCCCTTTCGATAGCTGGCTGTGCTGTCATCCTCATGGCTCTACTCAAACTGAACGTTTTATCTTCTTGTTTGCTCTTTTATACAGTTATAACGTCTTGACGCAGCTGTTTGTCCTCTACTTTAATCCGGATGTCTCTTTAAATTTGCCTGTACTTGGGTTACAGCAGGTATTATGCTTTGTGTTGGTGTTTCTCTAGATTNGGACTCTGAATATGAAAGCGGTGCTCCAGGACCCTCTATAGATCATGTACAAAAACCGAGACAAATTATTGGAGTTAGGTAAATTAATTATTATTTTATTTCACTTTTATAATCAGTCATAACTTTAATAATAATTGACTTGATTCATCAAACTAAAATGATAAAATTATAGGTTGAATAAAGCGCCAAAAACTTCTGCAGAACGTGGGCGAGAATTCAGAGCACGAAAAGCACTGCTTAAAAAACAAATTAAACAACAACAGGAACCTGTATCTTCTGAAATAAGGAAAATGGAAAAAAGAGCCAAATCTGCAGAGGCAACACGGCGATGGAGACAAAGAAAAAAAGGCGTTAGTAGTGAGTCATCAAAAAAACAGGCGAAAACTGCAGCTCAACGCATGCGAGAATATCGGGAGAGAAAAAAATTGTAAATATTGATTTATATATAAAACTTTGCCATTGAAGGCTCGTAAAATTCTTATTTGCATTTTCTTACTTAGATCAAAGAAAATACTGTTGAAGCAGCAAAGTGATCAAGATTTAGATGCTATAGTCAGCACATCATCATCACAAGTAACTCAAAGGGCTGGTCCATCAACAATAAACAGCCTATCCGCAGAGCTAACTAGAAGAGGGAATTCACAATCACAGCAACCACTTGATACTTCAGAACGTAAGCGAGAATATCGTGAGAGAAGAAATGATAATATCTAATTACATTGAATCGTAAGTATTATTGAATTATATATGTTCTGTCGTTGATAAAAAAAAATTTGGTTTATATTTTATGTTTTATGTTATTCACATTTTGNAGCTAAGCAATGGCTTGAAAAGTGTTATTAGGATTCCGCTCAATCAGAAGCAATAATTGAATGTTGTTTTGCTGACTTCAATCGTGGTCGTAGAGACATCTATGATCTATAAAGCAGTGGACTTCCAAATGAGGCAGTTGCCACCAGAAAGCATAAACAAATCCACAAATTTGTTTTGAGTTATCAAAAAGTGAAGTTAGCTGACATTGTAAAGATATCAGAAGATCGTATTGGCTTCGTATTGCATGAGCATTGGACTATGAGTGGCACCACACTTTTGGTGTGGCACCACAAAAGTGGTGCCGCTCTTGATGGAGATTACGTTGATGAATGAAGCTAATGAAAAAAAGCGTTTTCTTTCTCAGGCCCGGGATTTTTCAGTCCAGGTGTTCCATCCTGATGCAAGATATAAAGCAAAAAAATTAATTAAATCATCATTTCCTTAATTAATTTTTAAATTTGTCTTTTTTCAGCTGTTGCTTTACAGAAGAAGTAGAAAAGTATCCGGAGCTGTTTTACGAGGAAAGTTTGTTGGCAGAAAAATTCAAAGTCTGGATCTGGTGGTGGATCACGAAAAAGTGAATATCTTTTCTTTCAGCAGTTGCATTTTTTGAAACCTGTGGAAGCAACTAAGGAAGCAGAGCACGTTGACGATGGGGAATCTGTGGAGAATGTTGAAAAAGACAGAGAGGTGGTACAGTGACCTAAAAGGAAAAACAACAGAAGATACTACTACTGTACATGAGAATGATAAATTCCTTGAAACTCTGAACGGAAGACGAAGATAGGCTGTTTATCTTTGATGGGTGCACTAAAAAAAAGTACTTTCACAAAGAAAAATGATTACAAAAATTAAAATGTTGTCTTTACTTGACAATGCCACCTGAAATATTGAGTTAACGGGCACTTATGGACACCCGTATCAGTGAAGCTCGTCACAGTCACACCAAGAAGATAATTCAATCTATACCCTGAATATTTTACTAGTCCTGGAGGTTCCGAAATGCCACCTTCTGTTCAGTCACCCGTATCAAATTTATCTAATTATTCCGAAGAATCATCTATTCCTTACATGTAAGAATTTCAATAAGGTCACTTAATTCAACGGTTGTTTAATGTGTAATGTTTACTGTTTAATGTAGTAACAAAACTATAAATAAATGGTTCCTCACCTCAATGTTACAAAGAGTTTTTCTTCTAGACTCTGGATGGATTTTCTTAACACTGTATCTTGTTTAGTCAGATCATCCCGACATAAACTCAATAATTCATCAAATGATGCCAATGATATTCTCGCGTAATTGAAAAAATGTTCAGGATATTTCAACTAATCTTCATATAATTTGACAAAAACACCACTTTCATTTCCATTTGATAGTTATCAGTAATCAAATGATGCCTCGAATAAATTAACTTCGAACATGGACATTTTATTACAATATATTCATGAAATCGATACTGGTCAATCATCAATTGGTGATATATGTGCTGCTAAATGTGTTTTGGATGATGGAACAAACATCATAATGATAGTTGTTTAACTAGATTAGCTTTATATCCAGCGAAATACAACAGTTGAATGAGATGTTCAAACTACCATCCATCAGTCTCTTGACAATAAGAAAATTTACAGATATATTCCTCTTGCACATTGCGAATAACTTCTGGGGTAATTCTGCTAGTTCTGACCCTGATTTCTCAAATCATGTGAAATTTGCGGTCTACATACATAGAACTTCAATTTCAAATAACTTCACAAGAAAAATCTACTGACGTAAGATCTGGAGATCCTGGAAAAGAGTCATTAATCATGTTTTTATTATCCCTGCCCAAACATTGACTTTTTGATAAGTTTTTTCATCTCAAGATGCCAACTTGGTTGGTATCTTCAGACGTGAAAAGACATGTCAAAATGCAAAAAAAAATTGTGGTCCTTCTACACGCTTTCGTAACTCCGTTACAATAATTGAGATATACTTAAGCACAGTATACTGTGCTTTAGGTTTATTGTTTATTCTAGTCTAGTTCTACGAAATTCAGGACGTCAGGATCATGCGCAGTTGATATAGAGCTTTCTGGTTTATTGAGGATCTGAGGTTCGGATTGATCAATCGTCTGTTCTAGTTTCGACTGCGAAATGACCCTAACCTGTTTGAACACTCCCGAATCGTTCTTGCTCTCGAGGCTGAACTATTCCCGTTGCTCATGCGCATTTATGTGAAAATTTGTTTGGGCCATTTTCTAGGATATTTTTTTTATTTATTCAATTCAAATAATTGATGATTGAAGTTAGGTAACATTTGAACTGACTACAAGGATACGCTACATAACAAAACGGACATGATAAACAGTATTTTCTCGTCTTCATCTCTTCATATATACGATAGGTGACACAGTGGTTTTCTCGAAATGTGTTCAGGTTCAACCTCAACCTAGTATCCGAGACTATTTCGAACTGTTTGAGAATTTTTGTTTGTACGCATCATGTCTTGTGCAATTTCCAAACAGTTTCGGATGTTAGAACCAGAACAAACATTTTAAAACACGAAATGACGTGAAAAAAATATGTACAACATAGGTGTCATTCTCCCTTCCAAATGACAGGTTTGTTCTGTTCGCTCTAATCTTATTTCAGATCAGTCATTCGCATTGGAAATTGGCCTTCTGATCAATCAAACTACTTCGAACATTAATAGCAGATAACTTTTGGCGGAAATTACTCAATTTGTGGTACAACAAAAAAAAACACAACGTATAAATCGCGAGCGTTCTGGGCGTCGACTCGAATGCAATATATCTTTTTCTAATATTACAGACTTCAATCTTCTCCTTCTAAAGGCTTTCTCACACTAGTCCATATATTTATAATGACTGTCAGTGTCCATAATATAACGTCTATGGATGGTGTAAGGTTATGAATATGAATCACATAATACCAATAAGTTATTTAAATATACAGAGTTGTTTCAGTTGTTGATGTTTGATGTTGTGATATATTGACTAAATCGGGAGAAAAAACGAATATGCACAATATCAAAAACTTCGTGAAATTCAGAGAATTTAGTTCAATAAACATTAATTTTTCTACAAAGTCTCTGTCCAAACCTACAGATATCACATTATTGGACAAAACTTATGCTATTGATTCATATAGCAACCTGACAGATAAAATTTGCAGTTATATCGGAAAAAATATCTACTTACAACAGTATCATCCCCTGAATCTGGTTCGTCAAAGGATTATCAAATATTTTTATAAATCGTTTGTCAATCGACGAAAAAATCCTGTATTTTCAGTACATGAAAATTTGCCACCAGTTGTAAGTATTGCTCAGAACTTTGATAACTTGCTCATACCGGAAGATCACCCATCTAGATCGAAAAGTGACTGTTACTATGTCAACAAAAACTNGGACTGATTCCTCCGAGAGATGACTATTTATAGGTCGTTCGAGTACTTTCACTTATCCCCGCTTTCCATTTTCCGCTTCACTGGTTCCGTGGGAGATAACCGTTTTGGCGGGAGTTGGCCATTTTTCGCTTGACATCAAGCGAAAAATGGTCGTTCGAGTACTTTCACTTATCCCCTCTTTCCATTTTCGAACATTTTGTAGAAACAAAAACTCCGATGAATGTGCATACCGAAGAAAAGCTATTTAGCGAAAGTTCAGAAGAAAGACCATTCAATTCTAAAATACATTGATTCTTTCAATACAATAGAAAATATATTTTCCAATTAATTTTCAACAAATCAGTCTGAAGTAATACTAATTGAAACTTCAGATGAGGATGATTTTAATAATGAAGATGTCAAGGATAACTGTAAGATTCATGAATATGTCAAGAGAGATTTGAATTTTTTTGAAGATAATGTAATTCAGGTTGAGTTTATTGGCCAAGCGGTAGAAGAAGACATTAAACATTTTGAGAATATTCCAAGTAAAATGTTTACTCATTTATATCAAATGTTTTTATTCAAGTGTGCTACATTCAATTTATTGGCTCTAGTATTTCTGCGATAAATAAAAGAAAGTCTGATAGTCTGAACAACTTACTGTAACAATTACACAGAGTTGATATATAAAATAAATATAGCAGAGTTATCTATCTTTTCCAGGTAATGAATTACAGCAGGTTACAGAAATAAAAAATTCGAAATGCAAAGAAAAATACATAGAGAATACACCCACCAAAATATCTAATGATACCAACCACTTGAATGTAGACTGCAGTAAAAGTACTCGTGTACGACAACGGTAGACTAGCAGTAGAAAAAAGATATTTAATTGCACATTATGTTTGAAATTTTGCAAAAGTGAAGGTGGTGGGAAAGGAANGAAAGCAATGACTTTTGAGTACATTTTATTCATGAGAGCTCTTACTATCATGCAATAGTTCAAATAATTTTTTAATCATTATTTCACTTTATTATAACTCGTTTCACTTCATTATTAGATGTTATTTGGGAGTAATATATTCATAAATTTAATTCATTGTTTCAGGTATTTTGGCAATAAACAAGAAAAAGGATGAAAATTCAACAGATTGAATTTACAAAATATCTAAAACTGCTATTGAATTGACTGATATCTGATATTGACAAACCCAAATAAAAACAATCATTCTGAAGAATCTGATGTATTGTTGCAGTTTTATAAACCGTCATGTGAAAATCTGTCAATATGTTTGTAAAAAAAAAGTTTTATCATTCTGTTTTTGATTTAGGTGTTTTATTACCTCACATGCCTTTTCCAGGATCATCGTTCCACCTGTTTATGAGATAAAATCTCATGTTTGTATACAAAGAGTCCGTTTTGTTTTTTTTTTTACTTTATGTTAGCTATACTCAAAGATATGAAATAAAAATTGGTCCTTTTATCCAGTGAGATTTACGTTAAATCCTTATCTTGAATGATCTCTTTTTGTTATTAGTCTTAATTAATTACGAGCAATTGGGCAATATGGAAAATCGTGCTAGCCATGAAAATTACAATAGGGCCAGAAATCACATACTTCAAATTTAGTCTTCTATCAAAAAAACTTGTTTGGTACAAATGTTCAAATTGCCCTCCACCTGGTATTGAGAATTGATGGTCGAGAAGAACTATGTTAGATTTATTACCTTAAATGAGTCTGACGGTGGGAAAGGAATAGTTCCAATAAATTCGGCCCTTCTCACCAACACCATAAAAGTGTTTTAGGTGATGAAAGCACTCTTAGGGCCGCGTCAATTCGGCGCCGTGGAACCTTTACTGGGGCGCCGTGGGCCACGGGTGAGTCTCAAGATATAACGTTTTACAACATAGATAACTGAGAGTAAAGGTAATGCGTCGGTACCTATTAATAAAAGTCCTCTGATAGTATGATAATATCGGTAAAATGCAATCCGTTCAGACAGCCACCTACCTACTTTTATTAGTTAAATATCTAGTGTAGTCTTTATGTTCGGGACGCCACGATAACCTTCAAAAAACATAAGGGAGCTGTGAATTCGAAAAGTTTGAGAAACACTGCACTAGTGAGAAAGTAAACAGTTGGACAACTTCAACTTGTTACTTGATATATGTTAATTTTTTTGCATAAGTGTATCCTTTGCCAAGCTATAGCCTTTAGTACTACTGTACTATAATTCCACCAGAATTTGGTGCCTACTATTATGGAATTGCCTACTGAATTAATAGTTGGATTCAGCTGATTTTATATAGTCAGTAAGAGAATTGTAAATATGGGTGGCTTGGTACCGACTATAAATCATTGGACCTAATTGTCCGATCAATATTTGAATTTTTAGTCAATTAGATAGCAACATTTTTGTTGATACATCGATAGATGTATTAAAACGTGTTTATCCAAAGTGAAACGATTTGATTCACTAAAAATTTCACTGAAATGATCATATTTATGCAAGTTGGGACTATATTTAATGCAAGAATTTCGAACTTTCCGAAGACTTTTCTTATCTCTTTCGGAATAGAACTGGTCAATATACAGTATTGTTTAAATCAACTTTTACATTTGTTTGAAGGTGATTGACAATGTTTCATGATGGATTTCACTAGTTCGGACTTCCATTGTCTACTATATAAAATGATTTGAAATCCCTGAAAAGTTTGTAAAAAAAAAGTTTTATCATTCTGTTTTTGATTTAGGTGTTTTATTACCTCACATGCCTTTTCCAGGATTATCGTTCCACCTGTTTATGAGATAAAATCTCATGTTTGTATACAAAGAGTCCGTTTTGTTTTTTTTTTTACTTTATGTTAGCTATACTCAAAGATATGAAATAAAAATTGGTCCTTTTATCCAGTGAGATTTACGTTAAATCCTTATCTTGAATGATCTCTTTTTGTTATTAGTCTTAATTAATTACGAGCAATTGGGCAATATGGAAAATCGTGCTAGCCATGAAAATTACATTAGGGCCAGAAATCATCTACTTCAAACTTAGTCTTCTATCAAAAAAACTTGTTTGGTACAAATGTTCAAATTGCTCTCCACCTGGTATTGAGAATTATACTACATAGTTTTAGATTTACTACATAGTTGATTAAGAGTTCAAATTGATAACCACCAGCATCCATGCAATATCAAAAATCTTGAAAATATTGATAGTATTCTGTAGATTGTACAAAAAGTTATCAAGGAATGAAAGTGTTGTGACTGAGGAGGCTATTTATTTTGTTTGTTTTCTCAATACAGGGCCATGGAAATTGGTTTGAAAACTAATGCAAAGGGAATCTCAAGAGCTATTAAGTGATATCTTACTTGATCACCAAGATATTGAAACATTTTTGACACTAAAAGTTCATCACACATGCAACATCAATTTGTGCATTAGATATAAGGTGACATACTAATGGCAACAAAATGATGTGAATTTTATAAATGGATAGATTTGTTGATGCAATACATATTTGTTTACACAAGTCACAAAAAATTATCCAACTGAAATCTAAAATAGAACTTTTCAAACACCTACCTATATTATGGTTAATTATGCAGTGTCATTGAAATTATTTATGAGTGAACACATTTCCTTACTAAGTAATTTTTCAATTTCAATATAAACTTATTCAGGTTGACATCTTCAAGCGAGTCTAGCAATTCATTTAACATTATTGGAGCACACCTGTTTATGGTTCAATCAAGTTGTGGAAATCAATATGAATATGATCCTTGTGTCTTGTATCAGAACAATGTAGATTATGATGCATGATAAAGGAAGATCTATGTTTCTGGACGAAAACCAGTCGTTGTATATGTATGTCATAATATATAATGAGGGAAGCAATAGTGGGTCATTAAATAAATTTCTGAATACGAAATTATTCTGAATGAAATTAATACTGAGAAATTGTGAAGTCTTGATGATAGAAAAATGTAAGAAGAACATGAGGATATTCGAACTTTTCTTCAGTACAGTCAAACAGTCAAATTTTTACAAATATTATCATAACCTTTGAAGTGACCACAAGATAGTAGAAGACCAACTTGTAGTATATTGAAAAATGCTACTTTTTTATTGAAAACATTTTTAATGACATGGGAAAAATATGTATCATTGTGAAGTAACAAAAAAAATGATATCTGAATCAACTGTGGAAAATTATGAAACAAGCATTTTTCATCTCAAACATATTTTCATAACTCCTATTTTGAAAATATTCAAACATTGGCTTTGAGATGTGAGAGTAGAAAGAACATCATTCCACCAAGGACTCAATAATCAGAGCAACCGATTTAACAGTGTCTAGTCTGCAGAACTTGAAGAGGTCTTGATATTTCATCTATTTTTCTTCCTCTTTTCGGACAATATTCGCATCACCTGGAGCTGAAAACTCCACGACGAATGTAGTTTTACTTTGATGGTTGAAGAGGACTACATCAAGTTTATTAGCTTGTGTCAGCCTGAGAGTGAGGAATTATTATTATAGACATTGAAATAGGAATTTCACTTACCTCATCCCAAACTAAAGTCAACCACAAAATATTTAATTCACGAAGAATTCTTACAGATTCTGGAATAATGGTCAACTATTCACAACAAGAAATAAAAAAACAAAATTCTATGTTTATCAACGGAAAAAAATCTAAATTTTGCCAGAAATCAAATTTGACATTTGTAAAGAAAATATCGAGTCTTCACTTAATTTTGTGATAAAGAACGGTTCCCGAATAAAACTTCATCCTATGTTAGTTACCTAGTTTATTGATGATACACAGATTCGACCAGCGAATACTTGAAATAGTTTTATAGCTAATGAGATGGTAAATCTTTCATTATTTTTTCACTGTGTCATGTTGATCATCATTATTTCACTGAGAGTAATTGGCTATATTTGAGATTGAAGTTTGAATCTCGTTTTGCTCTTGAGGAGTATTGAATGGGTGGTAAGAAATAAATATGTGTGTATGTTAAATCCTGCTGAATACTATAAAGGTTGTGCTTGATCAACAATATTTTCAATTATCAAACATATTTTGGAAGAGACAATCCTAGATTACTATAACATAGTTCTTATATTATTCCAGGAATTGAATTTCAGAAGGGTACAGAAGTAGAAAATGCAATGATATTTGAGAAAAAAGACATAGAAATTACACCTACAAACGTTTCCGCTGTCAACCATTTGAAAGAATTTAGTAAGAATTTTGTTTGTGAAAATGATTTTGTGCAATATCATAAATCTGAAGGGGAGAAGAGGCAGTTTATTTGTAGAATATGTTCGAAATCTTGTAAAAGAAAAGATTTATTGACAAAACATGAGAAGATTCATACAGAGAGGAAGACACAGTTTATTTGTAAAATATGTTCGAAATCTTGTAAAAGAAAAGATTTATTGACAAAACATGAGAAGATTCATACAGAGAGGAAGACACAGTTTATTTGTAAAATATGTTCGAAATCTTGTAAAAGAAGAGAGTTATTGACAAAGCATGAAAAGATTCATATAGGTAAAAAATCTTTTCACTGCAAATTATGTTCTAAATCATTCCTTAAGAGAGGAAACTTGGTTGTTCATGAGAGACTTCATACAGGTGAAAAACCTTTCCTGTGTAAAATTTGCTGTACCTCTTTCAGACAACTAGCACATCTGAAATGTCATGAAAGGACTCATTCGGGAGAAAACCCGGTAGTTTGTAAATTCTGTTTGAAATTATTTGCTAATGGGGATCATTTGAAAGATCATGAGAAAATTCATTCAGAAATACCCCAGTTAGTTAATAGATTCGATGAAGATAATCCTAATATTTATGAAGAAAATATGGAGGGTGACTTGAAAATTTTAGAAAAAGATATTCATGAAGTGAATATAAAAGACAAACCTACTAGCAAAGATGTTGACGAGAGAGACATCACACTAGATGAAAAACCTTCTCTTGAGCTCATTCCAGGTAATATATTTATTTAGTTACATGGCATTTGTTGAGTAAATTTTATTTATGAGAGGTAACTATACTAGTAATACTTTAATTTTGATTGTTCTTTCACTTTATTATGATTTGTTTCATATTATAAATACGGGATATGTTTTTTGGTAGCAACAATGTTATAAATTTCATTCATTGGTCACCTACTTTCTGTTATTTTGTTTAATTTTGAACATTATAATTTTCAAATTTTGAAACTTCATTTACTTTTTATTAATTGTTATATTTTATTCTCAATTTAAAAAATCATGTTCAATAAATACATAGAAATTTAAATCGATTTCTGATGTTTATTGATTTGGTTAAAAATATTGATCACCCACTAAGTTGTTTTGTATTATATATAATAATAATGAATTATGATCTGAAAAATTTTTATCAGAAAATAAAACTCACTTTTTACAATCAAATTAATTAATATATTATGAATGTATGTATACATTAACGATGACCCTCCATGTCTCTGCTTCAAGCAGAGAAAAATCAAAATTTGATAAGAACCTGTCTTTGTGAGTCTTCAGCAATCCTCTCCATGAAAAATGGTCTAAAGCGCTATAATGAAGAGGTACACAAGTTGCCTCTCACTATCTCAAAAAGAGACTAAACCCATAAATCGTACCTTACCTTAAAAAAAGGAAGAGTCAAGAAAAAAGGAAATTTGATGTCAATGAAAAATTGCACCAAAACATGAGAGATCATGCAAATAGAAAGAAAACAACTAAAAGCAGAAAATGAAATTTGAAGTAATTTGCCCTTGCAGCAAAAGATCGTAAAAGTTTGCCGATTGGTCAGACCATGCTTGAAGCTGTAGTTAAAAGTTGTGGAAAATTCGAATGTTCTCCTGGAAATCATATGAAAACAGAAGAAAATTGAAAAAAACGATTATGGTAGACTACGTAGTGTCTAACTCGAAGACTATTTGGAGATTGGCTTTAGTCTCTTTTATGTATTTTGAACGATTACCTTCATTAAACAAATATTTCTGTCTTCATTTTTTCATAATGGTCTTTTTTTCCAGTAAGGTCATACTTTTCCTTTTTAGCAGAAAAAATTAGATAGGAGGCCTGTAGCCTCCTATCTAATATCTATGTCATTTACAAATATCTACTAATTTTCGAAATCTTTTACATTAAATTAGCGACACTTGAACGTTAATGAAGTGATTATTCAACTAGAACTAGTAAGAACTGTTGAACTCCAAGTCTTTAGAGTATAATAATGAGTTACAACAGAACCATTTAATTAAATTTTTTATGAGAAAGTTATTTCATTATTGCAGTCAATTATAAATATGGTATATTAATATAAAAAAATGCAAAAACGGATATGGATGTTTTGCCCAATCACAATATTCTTAGTGCTTTCCAGTAGTAGATAATTCCCTATTTCAAAAAATACGTCAACACTGACACTTTCCAGAAAATGAATAAAATCAGAATATGAAATTGACAATAGTTGATAGGGATGTTAGCCAGTACTACTTTATTGAGACAGAGCTGACAGAAATTCAATCATTTTTACTAACACACCTTTATTAGCTTCACCTGTATGTATGTTTGTTTGTAACTCTCGGGATCTGTATTTGAAAAAATTATCGACATTATTGCTTGATCTATTCGCGGACAGATGGCGCTGTACGTAACTCCTTGATATATCGACATTATTACTCACTTTACATGTATTTCTTCATTTAAAAAAAGTATTTTTTGTATTAGCACGCGCCCGCTGCCTTATTTGTAACCCTCCTTTGCGCCTTGGGCTTGGTAGCTCTCCTGAATCGAAAAATATCAATGATCATTTTTCTAAACAATATACGGCTGATTGATCCCAAAGTTTAGATAAAATAAATATAGTTTAAAAAGACTATAAAACACGCTTTTAAAGCATACGAAACTGAAAAATGAAAAATAAATATAGTTTAAGAAACTAAAAAACGCGCTTTTAAAGAACATCGAACTTTGTAGATTATTAAGACACGCCCGAGGAAGCCATTGTATGGCGAAACACCTGTTTTTGTAAAACTGTCTAGTGAAAATCACACAATAAAGTGTTTTTAGAATATGTTAATTATTATTATGCTGGTATTTTTTAGAGATACATTTACCGTATTAGCCAAAAGTAAACCTTCAGAACTTTCCAATTGAATAGTACTACCTTTACAGGGCATCCCAAAAATGGATTATTTACAACCGATGTTGAATACCATTTTCATTAAACGTTATTAAACCGGTATAATAACGATAAACTTTTTGGAAAGCGAATTTAAGTTATGAAACTGGATTCATTGAGTTGTATACACACACCTACTTTAAGCTGTATTAATTTAGTGACATGTATGAAACAATATAGAAACAGACAAGTGTGGATGAAATTAACATTTCAAAACATTAAAATGTAGATTCACAATGAATATAATAATTTTTTGGATCAATTTTAGAAAAAGTAACTTAAGAATTCCTGGGCAACTGCTTTTTTTTCCTGAATATATAACGTAACTAAAACTCAACTTTCTGGTAGCGCTTATGACAAATTCACGAACAACTTATCACATGTATTTTGTTGTCAACGATGATAGTTAGAGAAGGGTTTTATGTAGTTAGAGGTGCAGTTATTCTTGATTCGTGAAAATACTTCTCACATAGTGGATGTGTTAGAACCCTGATTGTTATTCAACGCATGTGAAACACATACAGAGTGGGCCATCGAAAACTTGACATGGGGGTTTTAGGTACTAATCTTGCAAATCCGAAAAAACGCTCAGACAGGTCAATTTTTATTGGGAGGGGGNATTGCATGGAAGCTGGAGGTGTCCATTTTGAGCATATGCTATCATGATAATAAAGTAAGTAACTTCAACTTTAAATTCAATATGGTTCGTCCAAATTAAAAAAATGTACACCATTGTTTAGAGAATTCCAAAATCTTTCAAACGATATGCGACTCGCCCCAGTTCCTTATTAAAATTCCAAGGGTTGTTCACCCCTCTGCTCCGGGGTTGAAGTGACGACGCTGTAAATGGGGAAAAATACTGCCCCCTTCCCAATAAAAATCGACCTCTCTGAGCGTTTTTTAGGATTTGCAAGATTAGTACCCAAAACCTCCATGTCAAGTTTTCGATGGCACACCCTGTATATACTTGTGAAAACGTGGTCATAGTCAATGATACGCAAATTCAAATAATGAAAAAACTTCCATAGTGAATTACTTTAAACTGTAGTTGAAATAATTCTTGAACTATAACTTGAAATTGTATCTTTGAATATTATATCTTGTACCACCTTTATTTTATTCAGATTGAGTACATTGAGATAGAGATTGTAGGTCTGAATCGTTTTTAACAACCTCTGAATGATTTAGAAAAAGGAAAAGATAAGTTTTTTGAGAAAGAAAGTTTTTGGCTTTCTACTACTCCATCTGATACAAAAAAAGGGATGAGAGAATCTTCCAAAGAAAGGAAGGAAGTAATCAACACTTATCNAGATTTCATTGTGAGATTTGTTCAAAATATTACAAAACTGAGAGGTCTTTGAAGACTCACGAAAGGAATTTTCATAAACAAGAAAGACAATTTTCCAAGAATTTGTCAACACATCATTGTAAAACAGTAAAAATCGAAAATTACAATGAAGATGAATCTGATATTCCAGAAGCAGGCATCAAGAATAACTTGAATATTAATGAAGAAAATATAAAATTTGAGATTACGACCAAAAATCTACTAGATGAGGATATTACCCCAGATATAAAACCTTCTCTCAAACTTATTCCAGGTAATAGATATATTTAATCCGTGTAATAATAATAATGATAATATCAGACGAGGAATCAAGAGAGTAAAATTTTCTTATTTGGGTTTTTTTCAACAATTGTGAAAAAAAAAATTTTACAACAATGACACCTAAGTTGATAAATGATTTTTATTATTTTTTTTGTGATCTGGGTTGAATTTATTTGTACTTGTGTTCAGGTTTAATCACATAATCAATTGAGACTCCTCAAAAATTTGTTGATTATTATGGAAAATTCGATTAAGACAAAAGTTATGTGTAACCAAAAATATGTTTATTAAATATATTTTGAGAGAGTCAATCCTAGATTACTATAGCAGATTTCTTATATTGATCCAGGCACAGAAATTCAAGAGGGTACAGAAACAGAAAATGCAATGATAAAAGAGGAAAAAGACGAGCCCAATAACGTTTCTGACGCCAATCATTTGAAAGTATGCTGCAAGAACTTGTTTGATTGTGAAAATAGTTGTGGGCAACACCAAAATACTGATAAGGAGAAGAAACAGTTCATTTGTAGAATATGTTCGAAGTCTTTTAAAAGAAAAGATTTATTGACAAAGCATGAAAAGATTCATACAGGGAAAAAATCTCATCACTGCAAATTCTGTTCTAAATCTTTCCTCAAGAGAGGGGATTTAGCAGTTCATGAGAGAGTTCATACAGGTGAAAAACCTTTCTTATGTAAAATTTGCTCTGCCTCATTCAGACAGCAGGCACATCTGAGAACTCATGAAAGGACTCATTCTGGAGAAAAGTCGTTCGTTTGTAAATTATGTTTGAAATCGTTTGCATATAGGAGCCAATTGAAAAATCATGAAAAGATTCATACAGAAACATTCAATTCAGTAGAAAGGTTGGATGAAGATGATTTTAATATTCCTGAAGAAAAAGATTTCAAGAATGACTTGAGTATTCATGAAGAAAGTATAAAAATCGAGTTTACTAGCGAAGATGTAGGTGGGGATATTACGGTAGATGAAAAGCCTTTCGAGCTTAATCCAGGTAATTACAGAGTGTTTCCTAATGCAGAGAACATCTTCAGGATCTATTGTTATGGAAAACAGTTTTTATAAACTATGGGTTTAGAAATGCATTGTTTCCAAGATACAGGATGTTAAACTTTTCTTAAAAAATTATTTTTTTACTATTGTAGATATCCCTCATCTGATTTTGGTGAATGTCGGCAATGTTATTTTCAGTGTAATTGGATACAAATTATTGAGTTCAGTGGCGGATCGGTACACATTTAGCCAACATTATTTAGCAAAAAATGTACACAACTGTTGTAACATTCAATATTGTGTTGGGCAAAACATCTAAATATAAACCTTTTTCATTTCTTGATTTGTTATCACAGCCAGCTCTGTTTTCCTCGATCGCACAATAAATGATTTTTTATTGTTGTATTGTTGTTTAGTAAACAATTTTAAAATAGGGTGGGAAGCACCACCCGCCATCGATATCAATATAAAAACGGAACTTTTTAGAAAATTGTAACAACTTGTATCTTGAAAGCAATGACTTCTGAGTACATTT